ATTATTGAATTATTTGTGCACTTTACCAATAGTGGCGTCTATTGTTTAGGCGTTGGGAATGCGCTTGATAATGCCTTGGTGCCTGGTTCGATCTCAGCTGCGGACTATATGGCAGAGATCGTTTTGCATTGTTTTCAGCTGTGATATCAAGAGCTGACCGTTCAGAAAGCAATGGCAAACTACTTTACGTAAAGTTTTCGTAAAAAACTACAACAGCCAAAAATTGATGGGGTTGATTTTGCAATGTCCTAGAAAGGATACACAGCTAACTTTTTAAACTCCACCAATGTCACTGTTTTCCTACTTTGATCACTGGGTCATCTGTTTATATGTTAGTCACTTCAGAGGCCCAAAAAGTAGTAGAAAAAAAAATGATGTAAAATCAGTGCATCTTGCGTTCACTGGGCTTCTAGGTAGGAACCTGTGAACGTACGATGTATTCCTTGGGATTGAAGGAGTTAATACCTGATCTTTTTGCAAAATAAAATTTAAAATTGTATCTTTAATTTAGAAAACTATATTACTTTGATATTAAACAGGTTCTGAGGTCAAGAAATATTTTCACTCATGGAATGCACTCAAAGCTCATCACATCCGATATCTTCAGTGCATCTGCCATAAGTGATAATGGAACAAAGTTAACAATGACAGCTCCAGGGATAGTCTATGACACAGGAGTAGATGACTGCACTGTGGGAGCAAATGTGAAGGTTGTGGAACCAAATTTCACTGAAGATGATGCAGCCTTTCTGTTCTATCACAGTTTTGATCACCTGTGAGTTTAGTGTATGTGTTTAATAATGTCCGCAGATTTCAGGACTTTTTATGTTGACTTGTTACACTCTGACGTTTCAAGTAAAATAAAAATAGATGCATTCACATACTGTTTAGTGAGGATTTGATGTTGGACCATATTTTCAGTTATTAGAGTTGAGTTGAGTTAAGTTTTAAGAAATGACATCATGGCACTCAGTACATTCCCATGAGCACTCAGCCCCCATCTTATAGAGCCAGCGAAGAATTCCAGCACTGATGGTACCAATAACAGTTTGATTGTAAGTGTATCTTGCCTTTTCTCTTAATCTGGAGTGTCAGCCAAATCCCCTAGTCACTCCCAGTTGCACCATTCTTCTCAGACCAAAGAGCCTTGACAACATCTAGCTTGTCATACACAAATGTACGACCAAGTGGTGCAGAGCCAGAAAGTCTGTCAGTCTGTTGATTTCTTAGCACACCTGCACATCCTGGAGAAAATATCCAAAGGATGCTAAGTACTGTGGACTACTGAAGAGATGCATGCCATTCAGCATGAAGTATACCCGCTTCCACCTTTAAAAAAAAAATCAAACAACCCACACTGGCAACAGTGGCAGAATTATCAACTTTCTGCCTTTACTCTCTCACAAAATCTCTGGTTTTTATTGTGTAAGGCTGGGGTGACCTCAGACTGCTACTCAAAAGAAAACAGATTATATCCTGGTCCTATGATAATCAAACCCAGGACCAATATTTTTAGTAGGAAAACTCCCTCACCACTACACCATAGTGGATTCATTACCCTGGGTTCACAATTTAAAGTCAGAATTTATGTGATCAAAACTAGAATTAGATAATCTTTTGTGAGGAATTAATATAATGTTAGCAAAGAAGAGTGAATGTGTGAATACATCATCATCATCACCATCATGTATCAGTGCAGATACTTGTAGGTTGTCATCATTCACATGATCACTAGAAACAACTGATCAGGTCTGTGTTTGTGTCTTGTCCATGACATGGGTGCAAAGACTTCAGGTATTTATTTCTACACCTTTCTCTTGCTCTTTCTCTATCAGTTTGCTAGTTGTCAATCAGTTTTCATAATTATTGTGCCTCATAAGAAGCCTGACAAATCTTGGCTGTCTGTCTAAGTGCATACAAAGGATAACAATTCTGGACGAGGGAGGAAGCAAAAAAAATGTGCTTTTAAATACAGTGTTAAGTAAAAATAAAAATGTACATATCTCTTTTTTTTCTAATTTTTTATGGAAAGGTGGCGCTAATGATGATGACAATGATGATGATGATGAAGAAGAAGACTGGCATATACTTCATGTTTTTCAAATTTTTTTTTTCAGAATTTAGCAGAATTACATACATTTGTCACTCCTAACATCATATTGGTGGTAAGTTACTTTTAATTGTTCATACTTGTTGCTGCTTTCAGAGACACAAATGCCAGAGTCTGTGTCACAGTTAAACCATCAGTACCTGGGATTTTCTACCGTATGTATGTACAAACAGGATCTGAACCAACAGACCTCAGCTATGACTACAGGTAAGTAAAGTAAAGGACCCTTTTTCCCTCCTTTAGGCGTATTGGGTATATAAGGCTAGACCTATATTTTCTAGACCAAACTGCACTTGATGGGTTATGTGGTCAGCATCACGCTGGCTGCTTTTACTTCCCAGGACAGGAACGGCTACCCACTCAAGGCTGGAGCAGCCTGGGAGTCAAGGTCATTTTGGAGAAAAAAAGTCCAGACCCTGTCAGGACCCTAACTCATGACCTTCTGATCCTCAGGCGAGTGTCTGGCCACTAGACCAAGGCTGCTCCCTATGATTACAGGTGAAATAAGTAAAATTAGTATCTGTTTCTCTTTGCTTGCCTCACTGTCTTAGTGAGAGAGAGAGAGAGAGACACGCACACATGTAGACACATGCTCACACAAAGAAAGGGCATCAGATAGACCTGCAGATAGGAAGTATTCTTAGTCATTTTACAGATTTTGATTTGCCTGAGGCCCATGTCTGTAAATCGTTATGTTTAATGATACATTTTAGATCCCAAAACAGCCTGCAATTATTTTGGTCCATGAAAAACTACAGATTTAATAGTATAGCGTAAACTGAGGTGAAGGGATCTGATTAGACAGTCAACAGCAACTGGTGACTGGCTCATGCAATTCAAGGGCACAATGTATACTTGCGAACCATCTAGGATATGATTACACTTCAGTCACATGCACAAGAGTCTCCAAGATGATGATAACCACTGGGTTCATACAGGAGATTAGGGACTGATGACAACAGGAGCATCCTAACTAAACCAGGTCCACAATTATCCTAAAAGACTGGAATAAACCACCAAAAATTATCTATGCTAGTGCAGTCAGTCTGGTTTATTATAGATGCATACATTACTACAATAAGTTGATGTTAAGTTAAATGAATAAACACTCACTGACGGCTTCCAGAGGTGACACTTGGCCTTGACACAAATCCATTTCTCTGCATTAAGCAGAATAAATAACTTTGTGCTCCTACACACTCCTGTGCCCTCTCTGGAAGAACTTATAGCCCCAGCATAATAGCCAAACACCCCACATTCCATGGAAAATGATGCCCCAACATCCCTGCACGATGTCAACAAGTGGCCAACAAAATCTATGTAGTTGCCGTCCTCTCTAGCATGCCCGCCCTAACGATCAGCTTTCAGAAATCTAATACACCAATTCAACTAGACAGCACCTGCACTTAAGTAGAATAAAATAGCACACTTCAAGGGACTAGAACCATTCTAACATGCAACTAACTGGTTTCAATAATGAGAGCAACTTAATCAAATTGTCAGTGGGTTCTCCACCAATGGTCAGCTTCATGTGGATCTCACTTCCCACACAATCTTTGTGGTGGTCCTTGAATTTTCTTGAGGTTCACTGAGCTGAACTTGTCCCCCCCCCCCCCCCCCCCCCCCCTTAAATTCATGTGTGTGTTTACACTCACTTCACTCCACCATACCATAAATATTGATGTGCAGTCTGGCACATTTTCACCTAAGTATACTTGTTGCTTCAATGAGTTTGCACCCAGCAGTGACTATCAGTGCTATGGGACAAATAAGATGAGCAAATTGTGGAAAATTAAGAACTTTTCCCCCCCCCCAGTGAAGTTGGGTACATTGTGCTTCTTATAGTCCATATCATATGAGGTTATTCACCACGTTCCTCTTTACCATTCTGTCTCATATGTTGCCAGTAATTTCTGAGACAGATAGTCTTCCATTCCATGGTGCTGAATTTTCTTATATTCTCTCTCTCTCTGCCTTCCCTGCTTCTCTTCCCCTCCAACTTTATGCCAAGCCATCACACGTTTTTCCTTTCTTGTGATGTGTCACAAGAATTACACTTGGCCTCTTCTGATGTTGCCACAACAATACTTTGACTGTTGATAATGAGATGGCACCATCGGTGTGTTTAATTAATAGTATATTGTGATTCTGTTTGTCACAATGTGGCCACGATTGAAGTATATATTATTTATAATATTTTGTAATTTTAATTGCTAATCATTTTTATTAGAAAAGTAAAGTTTGAACATCATCATCATGTAGCAAGTGCTTTGCAGAATGTTGTTTCCATCACATTCTGCCTGAAATAAACTTGGTCTCTCACCAGCTCTCCTGCCTCATATTTAAGATATCTTATATCCTTTGTCCATCTTCACATTGGTCGGCCAGTGTCCCTTTTTCCTGGTACCATGCCTTCCATTATTTTTTTTTTCAGTTTGCCATTATTTCTGTTTTTTAGTTAATCTTCCTTGATGTTCAGATCTTTTAGAATGTCATTATTTCTTCTCTCATTTATCCATGATATTCTCAGAATATCTCTACATCATTTCAGCTCAAAAGCGCCTATTTTCTTCCCCAAGAACTGTGAGTCCACGACTCACATCTATATGTTGCTACAGGAACGATGCGTGCTCTCAACATTGTAACTTGATTTGGTTTCCCTGATGAGTTTTTTGGAATAATTATGTGGTAGCTTTCCCTTGATTTCCACATCCACATGGCTTCAGACTATGTCCACAGCCTTCAGCAACCCAGGGCAAGTGCCTTGTTTTATGATGCTGCTGCTAACAGCATAGAGCACCACGGAGTTTACACAATGCTCACTATATACTTCACTTACTTTCAATAGGATAACCTTATCACTTGACACTTTGGAAAGTTGCGGAGAGACATGTATTCCAGCAGAAAAGCTAAAAGAAGTAGGCAAAGTATATATTGGACTAAGACCTTTGTTAGGTGAGTTTATATACACTACTATAAAAAGCAATTTATAATTCTATTGACATTTTTTCCAGTCCTCTGGTTTTGTTGTCAACATGAAAATTTTGTAAGAAGATTAAAACTAGCACAAGTTTAGAATATTTAGCTATAATGTCAAATGAAAATAGATGTATGGAACTGAAGTGAATAGATGTTTTGGCTAAAAAGTGACAGCAGTTTGAACACTCATACTGAGCAAGAATACATTCTAAAGACCATTTATGAATAAATGCTAATAGAAGATACAATGTTAAATGAAACCAACATGTGTAAGGCTGCATGAGTTGGGAACTGATAGTGCAAATAACAAGAAAGGATGCATGAGAGGAAGCCATGTACAGCTAGTGTCGTCTGGAACAGTTAACATCTACAGAGACATTTCCGGCAGGAGATGGATAATCTAATGGTGTGACCAATATCCTGTCATGTTGATTCTTAAATCAGGAATCTTCCTTAACATATAAAAGTACTAAGCGAGGGAATGAAGAAGAAGAAAGGGAAGAAGAAGAAGACACAGTGATAAGAAATGCATTAAAAAAAATGTATATTCTTTTGTTAAGATTCTGTAACACAAATGTTAAACTACCTAGCTATGGCAACTAAAATAGCTCATTGTTTTTGTTTCACTTTTACTAGCTCCAGCAGTTGTTTCTAGAAGAGGAAAAAGACAAGGTAAGTATAGTAATTAATGAAATGCAAAGGATTTGTGAAGATACTAAGATTCATGGACACATAAAGGATGAATGTGTTTCTTGAATGATTATTTTTATCCTAAGCCAACAATGGGGAGCTGCCATGGTGTAGTGACTAGAGGCTCCACTGCAGATCTGAAGAATATGGGTTCAGGTCCTGATGGAGCCAGACTTTTCAAAAATGACCTTGGCTTCCAGCCTTAAATGGGTACGAGGTAAAGTCCTAGGGTGTAAAGGTAGCCAGCATCACTCACCAAATGCCAATCAGTTTATCAAATATAGATCAAGCCCTATATGACCAAAACATCTAAAGGCATGGAAAAGGGTCCTTTACTTTTTTACTTACACCAACAATACAATATAAACATGTAACATAAAAGACCACTAAAAGAAAAATTTACTGGCAATTGGAAGTAAGAAATATTATAGTCAGTAGCAATAATGATTTAGCTTAATCTGTGAGTGAGTGATGGAATAGATTAGAATTATAATTTCATGAAAAAACAAACAAATAATCTATGTTATAACAGTTTCATAAATTAATTGTACCTTGAAGTGCTCTTGGTTTGAATTAAATTAAACATGTTTAGCTCTTGGTTTGAAATATATTGAATGTGTTAAACTTGTACATACCTTATGACCCATAGAATAAAAGGTAATGGAAGTGATTGTGTTTTTGTTGTTCTTTTGTCTAAGCTAATGTGCGAGGAATACCTGCACAGAACATCAAGTTACATTTATGAATATTGAAAATATATACAGAAATTAAGGAACAGTACACTCTCACTATTACATGACACCTTTACTTTTACATCATGCAGCTGTGGCTAACCCCTTCATTGCAAGTTATTTGTTTGGTATTACAACTGTGGCATGTTATAACTGGGAGGAACAAAAAGCAGACTGGGAAGCTAGTCGATGCCAGGTAAGTTATTTCTATGCAAACGTTTCTAGTCATAAATTAGAAGTGTAGTAGCTTTCTTAAAAAAATAAAAAGTTACTGACAAATGAGTCTCATCAATGCCTTGGGTATATAGTACAAAAGCCGTGTCCGTGGCTTAGGCGTGGTGAGTCCGACTTGTAATTCCAACATACTGTGATCGAAACCCACTGCTGGCTGCATGGATTTTTGTCATGGTATATAGGGCATCGCAGGTTGACACAGCCTAAAATGGTTACCAGGATGGCTGTCCTGGGGAATTAAAGACGGCTGGCATAATGCTGACCACATTACCCACCTAGTGATGACTAGTCTGTAAAAATATGGGATGCTCTTCCCATATGCCCTACCCGCCTAAGGCATAAAAAGGGATCTTCACTTCACTTTACTTATTACTATATAGTACAAGACCTACATTTTTTACAGACTATTCAGCATTTGATTAGGCTTCAACTTCTTCACGTTTATCAGCTGTAAACTCCGGCGGAAAGTTCTGGTTGTTCGTCCACTTCTGGACTTTAGTCTTGTTCCAGAAACGAAGTGTTGCAACCACATTAATTTTACAAATCTGACATCTGTATGCAGATTGTTAATTCCTTGCCTTTCAGGCAGATGCATTCTGACTTTGAAAGAAGCTCCCAGTTAGTCGACTCTTACAGGCTGCTATGACATTTAACATGGCAAAAATACCTCAGCTTTCAGAACAGGATGCAGTTTTTGAGCCAGTTTTCCTTTATGCTCAAGAGAAACAAGCAAAGATACATTTATTAGCCTGATTTCAGATTAAACCTTTATAATTTATTCCACAGCAGGCTTGAGGAATGGCTAAAAATATCTTAAAGAAGATGAAAAATTATAGATAGATAGTGAGATAAATAACACATAAAAATAAAAATCATCAGATGTTATGTATACTCAACTCTGCTGTATGGCGCAGAAACTTAGACATCGAACAAGCAATTAGAAATGTGAATTGAGTCTCTAAAGATATGGATAAACAGAGAAATAGGTCTTATTTCAAGGAAACACAAACCATTAAATATAGAAGTTCTGGAGATATGTTGAAGGAAAAGAGAGTTGCTGAAATAAATAAAGAGACAGTTGAAATATTTCAGCTATATTAAAAGACATCATCATCATCATCATCATCATTTGAGTGCCATTAGACGTCACATAGAGCTCGGATTTGATTTCTCCACTCCGCTCTGTTACCTGCAACTTTCTCAATTTCTGACATAGAGTTCAGCCCAGCATTTGTTGCCTCATAATAATGATCTTTCTAATGTTTCCCTTGAAGTCCACTTTTTTAAGATTGTTTGTTTCCAAGTTGTGTGCTGTTTTGTAATTGTTTGCTCATTTAATCTCTTGTTGAAGTCGATACAGGTATTTGTCCATACATTTCTCAGACTATAAGACAGAGCACTCTTTTAGAAAACCGTGTTGGAGGAAAAATTATATGGCAAAAGAGCAAGAGGTAGACAAAAATACAAGTGGGAGGACTACATAAAGATGAACAGCTGTCTGACAGAGTGTAACACCAATACAAGAGACAGAGATCCTTTGTAGCCAACCTTTATTGTGGAGATGGCACCTGACTGAATAAGGCTAGAGTAGATCTGACTAGTTAAGATGTTTCTGTAATTTATGGGACATTTCTCTGTTACTATAAACTTAGGAACCTGGCTTGCAGAATTATGATGGGAGAACACAATTATCTTGAGAACTTGTTAAGGAGTTGTTAGACTGATGGAAACAGAGCAAGAGGAAGGCAAAGAGATGAATATCTGGATGTTTTAGATTAAACCGTTAGATAGGGGTGATACAAGAACACAGACCTGGTCTGTGATTCTGGTGATCTTATAGTAACCTATGCTTATGGCATGTACATAATGATGATGAGATCATTATCTCAGATGAATGATGAAGAAGAAGAGGAAGAAGAAGCAATCATTATCTATATGTTTTGGGCCAACTGGAAATTTGTGAGAAGGAATATGGTTGATTTGACTGTTTAGCTCTATGACATTTTCAGGTAAACAAGTACTTGCATCAAATTCTTCTCATAACAAGCCCAAAATTTCAGTATGTAGCAGCTGATGACACCAGTTCTATGTTAGTTTGTTCTTCTTTGGTTTCCTGCATTTTGCTCTTGTTTGGCCACAACCCATTTAATTTGCTGTTCTTGCACTCTGACCATGGTTGTGGATTCACAGTCATCACTTGGTTCTCACAAATGTACTGAGAACACTCATTGAGTCAATGAAAAAACATGCCTGAATGTAGGTCTGTGTCTCCAGCCTTATTCCTTCAATGACCTCCATAGGCATACTACATTTTCAAGCAAACAAATACTTGAATCCAATCCTCATAACATGTCCAAAAGTTACTGATGGTCTATGTCTAATTTCACTATATCAGTTTACAGTTTTCATTTGTCTCAATGAAGGACTGCCTCATTTGTATTTTTTTATCATTCCATTTTCTAAGTGCAGGTGACAATTTATGTCAGCTTAGGCAGCCTGAAGATCATTGTCTGAATGAGTCAGCCACCATATTATCCGCTGGGTTACTGCCCTAAGGTTATTTTGTTTTTGGGTGGCTTCCCTTTTACTTCGATATCTGTTTACTATTTTTAATGGTATAATTCACCTTTTGGGTTCTTGGGTCTGGAGAAGGGAAGAGGGGGGGGGGGGGGGGGGGGGGGGGGGGGGGGAAGGGTTAGTCTCACTGCCCCCCTCCTCCCCTCCTCAACAAGCATGTTATTTAGGCATGTTTCTTATAAAGATGGAAATCTGTATTACTTTCAGACAGAACAGATATACTGTGCTGCATCTTAAAATATTTAGTTAGATTTGTGCAGTATGCTCAGATCAGCCATAAAAGATATAATAATACACTGTGTTTTTGGTTACACAGGAAAATAGCTGACCTCAAAACTGGGAGGAGTATAACTTGCATCATCATCATCATCATCTTTGCTCTGTGTGCCTTTATTTGTCTCGATGAGCTCACAGTATGTTCCTCCATTCTCTTCTATCCTGTAAAATCCCTTTGATATCATGGATGAAATCCAAGCCAGCTGCTTTGGCTTCTACCATCAATGTCCATTTTAGGGTTTCTCTTGGATATCCTAATTTCCTCAATCCTTTTATTCCCCATTTCAGTGGTTCTCTGCCCGTTTCTTCCCAGTTGTTGTCAATAAAAATTACACTCTCCTTGTCCAACAGCTGTTGATACTAGTGGTTACTGAGACGCATCTCTTATTTCTTCACCGCTTTCAAAGTTAACCCTTGGTATGATCTGTAGGCTTCTCAAAATGTTGTAAGGCAGATGTGGTCAAGGCCCTTTGGGAACAAGCAAAATTTTAATAACTTAAAAAAAAAACATGGAATTCTAAATTTTATAGTTTTAAAACCAGTTTACATATTTTTCAATTCTGGTATAGTTTCACATTAAACATATGCAAGTAAAAGCCGTAGAACCACTGAAGACATGGAATGAAAGGTAAATTCATTCAAAAACAAATGTCTGAGGAAAATGATGGAAATAAAATGGGATGAATTCAAAAGGAGTAAAGAAATAGGAGAAATGTCTGGGCAACCACTAGTATTATCAACAGTTATAAGACAGAAAAGATGGCGCTACATTGGACACATCTTGAGAAGAAATGAGCAAGGAACCACCAAACAGGCAATACAATGGAAAACAGAGGCACAAAGGTGGGCGAGGATGCCCAAAAGAAACCCTAAGACGAACGTTGATGAGAGAGGCCAAAGCTCCTGGACTGGATACTATTCATGTTATTGAACTGATGGCACAGGATAGAGCAGAATGGAGGATTAGACTGTGAGCCCTGTGTGACATATAATATCACAAGCAGATAATGAATGAATATACATACACACACATAAATGTCAGATGGTGCTTTTAAAGTAATGATGGTTCAACTAACTAGACTTTGAGGACGTATTTTCCAACAGTGGTAGAATTTAGCAATATTACTGGTGAATCTGCCTTGGTGAGGCTCCAGGTACAGGTGGAATTCCTATAGAGGTCATGAGGGGTGGCGAAAAAATCATACTCACCCCACAAAATCATCAGGTAGCAGCACGGTACATGTCCGTCTTATAACATTCAGGATTTTTTTAAAAATTTTTAATTAGACAGAGTTGTTGAGTTGAATTGAGATGAGTCAAGAATTGACATCACAGTACTTGGGGCATTCCCATGCATGCTCCGCCCTCATCTTCAGCAGTAAGCGCAGAGTTCCAATACTGATGCTACCGGTCACAATCTGGTTATATGTCCGTCTTGCCTTTCCTCTGAGTGTAGTGAGCCTGCCAGACTCATTCTCTCCAGGCCATAATAATCTTCTGTCTCTAATGATTCCGTTGCTTGTTCCCAAAGTTAAGTAGACAATGTTAGGACATACCATGCCAGTAAGTCTTTCATGGTTTATTTTGTGTACGTGTGTTAATTTAATTTATACTCAAATATTAAACAATTTTTTTGTTTTAGTATTCATTAATGAGATACTATAATGGGTGTAGATTTTCATATATACTTAGACTGATGTTTATTCTCAGACCAAAATATTATTTTTTGTTACAGTGGGGTGTGTTTCCCTTGGTGGACAACTATGCAGATGAAGAATATTTCTACCTGATTGCTGTTCACACTGGACTGAGAAAGTCAGCAGGCACCAAGTCTAGAGTCAGTTTCTGTTTGTCTGGAGAGTTTAACGATACAGGTGTACGGCAGCTTAGAGATGGAATTAGAGAGGCAAACATCTTTTCATTTATTTATTTGTTATGTTTTGTTATATGTTATGTTATCACAATCGACATCACTGCACATTGGATATTCACACTGGGTATTCCCATGTGTGCTCAGTCCTCCCATGTAGCAGCCACTCCAAGATACTTCTACTAATTGTTCCCATGAGAAGTTGGTTATAATGTCTCCTATCTCAGCTTTGAAGGTGCCATAGACATGCTTCACCATGCTTGACCCCCATGTCACGCAAATGTGTTAGTGTCAAAGATTTGCCATTATCCATTAGTACAATCCGTACAGTGTTGATGATATATGCTCTGTTCCATGCTTCTTCCCACAAGCATTGGTGCATTATTGGTTATTTGTTATGGTACAGTTACCCTTAACTTGAGATGTGCCAGATACAAAATTCAATTCAGTGTTATGTTTGAAAACATTAAGGAAACCAAGATTGCTGTTTTTCTCCTTGATCCCTAAGTAGTGACTGGATGCCTAGTCTGCTTAGGTCACAGTGAAAAATAGGTCACATATGTTCATTGCTCCTTGATAGTAAGAAATCATAAATAGAAAGTGACAGACCTACCTCAATTTAAAAATTAGAAAACCTAACCACAGCAGAATATGAATAGCTTGTGTGATTTTGACACATGTATTTTGAGATCCTTGTGTGGTTTTAGGAAAAAAAAATATCAGAGCATAAATGAATAATTTGAAGTTTAGGAAGATAGTCCTTGAGTTTAGTCAGAGCACTTGTGGCTTTGTTTGTTTGTTTATTTATTTGTAAATCTTGTTTCTTTAGTTTTTACTCTTATGGAACAGAAAGAGTTTGAGGAATTTTACAAATTGAGTTTACAACCTTATAGGCAAGAATCACACTTATTTCAAGGAAACATGCAAGATCCCCAAGTCTTTTTGGCAAGACTTAGATGCTTGTATATCCACCACGTCATGGGGTTTTCCTGTGTCTGTTATACATAAAGTACAGCATACAGAATGTACAGACATCAGCAGGTCTGACTATAGTGAAGTCTGTTAACTGGGTTTCCCATCCCTCAGACACCCACATAGTTTTGAAAGATGTTCAACTGCTTTTAGAGTTTATATGTTATCTTTGCTGTTTCATCTATAGATAGTGCATTCCAACAGGCCTGTCCAGAAGAGGCAGTGCATGCCTTTTAACCCTGAAGAAAAGATCCTTTACGGGAAGTTGCAAAACCAACTACAGCATTTTGTGGTGGTTTTTTTAGACAAATTTTACGCTTAATAGTTTGCCATTGTTGTTGTAAAAACAACAGAAACTTTCTTTGTCAACACGGGAGTCAGACAGAGATGCATACTATCCCCCTTTTTGTTCAGTTTGGCCATTGACTGGCTGATGAAGTAAGTTACACGAGATAGAAAATGAGGCATCAGGTGGTCACTCACCTCTGTTTGAGAGGATTTGGATTATGCAGATGACTTCAGCCTTATATCAAGCCGTCATGTGGACACTTAGGAAAAGACTGAAAGACTTTCAACAAATAAAAACCAGTAAAACTAAAGTAATGAGAAATAATTTCAAAACAGAAAATCCAATTATCTTAAAAGATGAAGCAATAGAGGAAGTTGAATAATTTATATACCTCGGAAGTAAAGTTACTCCAGATGGAGATTCTGAAAAGGATGTAACATCAAGAATAAATGAAGCAAATCAAGCATTTGCCATGCTTAACAATATATGGAAGTCAAAATGATTTAGTTTAAAAACAAAACTTAGAATGGACTTTAAAAATAAGAAATCCTTATATAGTCACTGCCATCACTATAATCTTTTATTTTTTATCTAAATATGTCATTTAATGCCAAATTTAAAGAATGTTTGTTTAGCAGGGATTCTCATCAGCAAGTTTATTATACTTTGTAATGGCCTGTCCTGGATCATTGGGTCCCCTTCAGTGTTTGCGTATTTGGATTGACAACTCTGAGAAGAGTGGTGATGCATCCTGGTATCTAGACAGAATTGATGTTACAGATATTCAGACTGGTCATACGTAAGATGTATTATGTTCTTGTTTATTAAACAGTTTTTATGATCTCTACAAGAAAGACACACAGTAGATTGCACAATTTATTGCCTGACATATTTCACTTCGTCTCATCAGGTGTATACTACAGTAACAACTGAATACAGTAAATTAAATAATGAATCCCACTAACTGAAATACAGAAATTAAGTACACTGAAAAGTAACTGTTCATTTTACAGGTCAAATACAGATCCATGACCATGTCTCTTTGTCTGCTCATATCTGGACAGAAGAGATTTATTGTGTCACTTCAATCTGATGAGATACAGTGCAATAAATTGTGCAATTTTGTTTGTGTCTTCTTTGTTCAATATTACAGTCTGGAAACATTGTTTTGATTTCTAAAGTTTGTAATTTCAACATTAAAACATTGTTTTGATATATTTAGCTAATTAGTTATAAGTTGCTAGTTGCTTGCAGTAGTTGAAAAATATTTAAAGTTAGTAACATGGCAGATTCTGCTGTTGGGATGTGAAATGTTATCATTGCCACATTGCCCTGTTGTGCCATTATATGTCAAATGGAGCCACTCCTTTCAGCTTTCTGTACACAGTGTCACACTTCTTCTACTAGAAGAGCCTCCCCTCATCTTGGTTGGCTGGGTTTTACTTGTTTTCCTTTTTGACTTTTCTATGGTTAGTTGGATTTTACAGCTATTATTTTTACAGGACTGGGTAGCCAGCCCTAAGCTCAACCCTACCCTTAGTCGCCTTTTATGACATGCCTGATAGGGTGCAGTGTTGCTTTTTTTTTGCTTTCTGTGAGGACCCCAGTGACACACAGACACCAAGTGTATCAGCAGCACATAATGTTTTATTTTTATTTTATATGTTAAGTGTGAATGCTAAACAAATCTGACTTGTTATTGTTAAACAAAAAAAATATATCCAAACACCATGAGTTGTTAATGTTAACCCTTTGACTTGGTACTATGGCATTCAGCTCACTTAACATTGTGTTTTTAAAAATAATATCTGCATCCATTTTTCATTGTATTTATTATCCACATTGAATTACCATTGTTAATTTTTTTTACTGTAATAAAAAAGGAGTGTCTTTTTTGGTAATATTGATTTATATTGGATATAAATATATTTGAAACTGTACAAACTATAATTTTAAAGACTACTACTGCATTCAAATATGCATCTGTGTTTTCTTCTCTAGCCACAACAATTTTTTCAATCTGGATACACATCGAGTAAAGATCTGTGTTATTATCCAATTCTGCAGATACATTTTTGTGTGTGAAGAGTGGCTAGCTCCAGAAAAGAACACAATGGACAAGATAATAGCAGCTAGCAGTGTGCAAGATCTGCAGTCTCTCAAGAGTATGCTTGTTATCAACACTAGAAAACACATTACTGATGAACACATTTGGTTGTCGGTTCTGATTCGACCGGAGTGGAGCCGCTTCAGGTGATGATACAATTGAAGTCAGGGACAGTTTCCTTGTGTTGGGTTCCAAGACCTGATTTTAGGAGTTTAAAAAAAAAGGAATTGACCAGCTACCACCGTGCCCCCCCCCCCCCCCTCTTTTCCCCCAAATCCTTGGAAAAAGGTTTTACACAACAAAATATGTGAAGATGTATAAAGGTAGTTAAATGTGAGCAGATGGAAGCATTAAAAAGAAGATATTACCTCAGATCAGGAAAAAAACTAACCAATATGTATAGGGTGATACATGTGTGACCCAATGACCTCTATCACTGCCAGTTTTAGCTAATATATTGTTATCAAACCTCCTAAAAATTTGAACAGGTACAAACTCAGCCCATGGCATTAACTGCGTGTCTCATAAAGAAGTCACTATGGACAAGTTGGAAAAGTGACATTTATGGGGAATTTGACACAGCTGGAAGTGTTAGGCATGCAGCTTCTCAGAATAACAGGATCAATTATTAAAGACTATTTATTAGTAAATCATTGCCATTTTTTATTCTTAAAATATTTGACAATTGAGAGTTGTAGGAGTGCAGGCAGGCCCTAAAGTCTTTAGTTCTTAAGTTTGAATCTGCACTGTGGAAACATGTTATAATATACCTAGGGTTTTCTAAGAAAATATTTGTCTATCACCTGATGTCCAGAAGATATGGTGGTAGAGTGGTTAGATGCTTGCCTACCAGCCGAAAGGTCTTTGATATGAATCCAAATTTTGTCTTTTTTTTTTCCCAAAAACCTTGATTCGCAGGTCAACTCAGCCTTAAATGAGTACCTGGTGAAGTACTAGGGAGTAAAGGTGGCCAGGATGATGTTGTTGACCTATGAGTACCAAGTGGCCTACAAAAATATGACTCTAGCATAAATGCCTGAAACACTCCTGGCATGACAATGTTGCCTTAGTTATCTTTTTTTTAAAAACCAGATGCCCAATACACTAGCCATGTGTAGAAGATCCTTTATTGTGCTTATTAAGACTATACAGCATGTTAGAATGTACTGTTTGAAAATCACTAAGGCGACATGCATTAAGGTGTCTGCTCTTCTAGCCGTGTGGAAAGATTGGGATGTTGCCTGACCTTCTTGCTGTTGGCCATGATCACAAGTGCAATGTTTTATAGAGGGGCTCCTGATGTGGACAGACAAAGACCTCATCCTGGGCTGTTGATTGGTCCGGTCAGACTTAGTTTCCAACAGGTATTTTATTAAATAAATTGTAGATGTTTAAGTGCAGTGTATGTTTTTGATATTTTTATTGTTCATTCATATTGTTACTTTACCAAATGTTTATTCTATAATCATCATCCTGCAGCACGTCCTTTGCAGAATGGCGCTTTCATTACAGTCTGCCTGAAAGCAACTCGGTCTCTCACCAGCTCTCCGTCTTTATGTACTTTCACACTCAAAGAGTCACTTATATCCGTGCCAATCTTCGTGATGGTCAGCCCCTGCCTCTCCTTCCTGGTACCATGCCTTCTGCTTTTATTTTTTCCATTCCGTTGTGGCGCTTGATATGACCAAAATATTTCAGTTTCCAAGACATGATGCTGTTTATTAGCCAATCTTTTTTGATGTTCAGATCTGTCAAAATGTCAGTATTTCTCCTCTTCTTTGTCCAAGATATTCTGAGAATCTTTCTATAGCATTTCAGCTCAAAAGCCCCTTTTCTCTTTCTCAAGGAATGGGAGATAGTCCAAGACTCACATCCATATGTTGCTACAGGGAAGATGCATGCTCTTAAAATTCTAATTTTGATCTCCTTGCTGGTGCTTAACCATAGACTTTTAAGGCTGTTTAATCTTTGCATTATTCTGTAATACTGTATTTAGACAGAACAGATTTTCACAATATCATTATAATTTGCAAAAGCAATAAGTGTGAACAGTCATGCTTCAGAATTTTACAAGTCTTTCAGATCATGTATGTGATTTTGTACCAGTTATGCACTTAGGAAAATCAGTCAGGTATTTATCTCACTAATTTTAGTTTCCTTTAGCTTTTTTCAATAAGCTGACAAGTTGTCTTTAAGTTTTTAAGTTAGTCTATCCTTTTCAAATGATGATTTTTATACTTTAGTGTTGTATTTTAGACCACATCGGATACTTAACTAGAAACAAAATAATAGCAAACATCAAAAGCCAGACCATTCCTGTTGGACTGGCATCTTATGAATGGTTCTAGAGTTATTAGGTTGCAAAATTAACATTTGTGTGAAACAATTACCACACACACACAAATAGTTTAATGTATGAGAGATAAGCTCTAAAACTTCAAACCAGTCTTTAGTCTGAAAAACTTGAGATGACTTACTGAATTTGACATCATCAACAGCTATACTACTCCTTGGTGTCTGCTGTGATCTCTGCCATACCAGTTGCTGTCCTTGTGACCATCTTCAGAAAAGCAAGAACTACTCCAGACAAAGGTGACTTGTTTTGCTGTTGTTCTTTCACACTGACTGATGGTTCAGTACATCAATGCTGAACATGAACGAAACATTAGAACACCAAACAGCTAATATGAAATATTTATTTGCTCCAACAATGTTCACCTCCATCAGTGAGCCAGTGGTTTGACATCTAGAGGAAATAAGATTGGCTATACAAGAGTTCTCTAGAAAATGTTAATTACCTTAGGCTCACCAGAGTTAAATTCGAAACACATCCCACAGAAGACAATCGTCTCAAATGATTTGTCTGGAAGTTGATAGCCAGGCTTTTGGGCACCATTCAGTTGCTTGAAATAACAGTCGCTTACTTCACTGATTCACTCAGTTCGCACTCTTCAAGCACCGGGATCTTTCTACATGAAAAACTAAACTGACTCCTTTCATTCTTTCCAAGTTAAAATAGCCTATTTCACCTCCCATTCCCTCAAAAGTTCCACTCACAATTTTCATATTTTTCTCATCAGGCACGCTTCAGCCAGCTTGCACACTTGCCTCGAATTACTCAATTGTTCATGCTTACATCCAAGCACATAATTTATGCTTAGTAGTTGTCATTTTCTAATCATGAAAGAATTAGTCAATAATGAGAAAATGGATCATTACAGGTGGATACGATAAACATACAGCAAATATAAATTAAATACTAAAAAGAATGTAATACTAAAATGTATATTATCTCACTGGTATGAAAAAAGATAAAAATTTTAATTTCAATTATACCTTCCCCTCCTTCAAATCATTCTCCAAATATTTTCTGTATTCTTCATCACTGTTGTTTGATTACTGTTCTTTTTCACCTCATCCTCTCTCTCTTTTTTTTCATAATCTTTCTTTTTAGCTGCAAATATATATGAAGTAGAGTTAAGTCATTTTTTCAATACGCTTTACAATAAAGACATGTTTGCCTTTCTGTTTGACTTGCAGCAGAAGTAAAAGCAGTAGAGTCCAAAAACACATGCTGTTCTAAACTACCTTGGATGGCAAAGATGGAAGAGCAACTGAAAAAGCTGGATAACATCTTACTAATTAAACCAGGTTATTGAAAACATTTGTTATATAAACAAAACTACATGTTGGTTATGAATCATTTATGAAATCAGACATAAATTAGTTCCTGGATGTATAAAGGACAATGAAATGTGCTATTATGTGACGTCCAGAATAGTCACTAACCTCTTTGTACGTAGCTGCTGTAAACATGAGACTGAGCTCTATAACAGAACATGGGAAATAATTGATCAAGAGCTGAAGACCCTACAGCAAAGAAATACTATTAATTAATTTAATTCTTGTGGAGCATATATATTCTTCTTTATCTTATTTGCCTAAATGTCCCTATGATTTCTAGGGTTCCACGGGTGAGGGGGGGGGGGGGGGTAGTGGAATGAATACAGGAAACTAACTACAGGAACAAATTTAAAAGTACAAGTCCAAACATTTGAATATAAAAGATTAATATTTCACAAAGCAAAATAATACCACCCCAGATCACTGTAACCATTTCCAAAGATAAATTATACAATATAATTGTCAAAATTATTTTTAAAGTAAACATACAATATATTAAACTTAATAATATATACGCTATTAAATTATTACATAATCTATGCAGTCTTAAATAATGGAAAGTAATTTGAAAGCATAAAACTCCAGCATCAAATTATAACGAAAAAGATGCAGTATTATCAATAAGTTAATTTGTTTTAAAATTACAGATGCAGAGGAAGTGAAAACAACATGGCCACAGTGGTGCAGATCTGTTGGCTGGATCCTTGTGTTTTTGCTGACTTCAGTCTGCAGCTTTTTTATAATTCTTTACACCATGGAATGGGGAAGAGATGTCACTGAGGAATGGTTGTCTTCTTTCTTTCTTGCCTTTATTGAGTCCCTTTTTGTTGTTGATCCTTTCAAGGCAAGTAACTTGCATATTCATTGATTTTGTGACTTCACATCTACATTAGCATTATGTATACCAGTTGTCATTTCTTATGGCTCAATTAATGACAGAATGTCGTGTATATGTTGAGGGAAAAGTGGAAAAGGAGGGGAAGTAGGGTTGTTGTTGTTTTTATTGATTCAGCGGCACACAAGCTTTTGCCCTTTGGCCCAATGCCATGTAGTGGAATTTACATGTTTTCACAAGCTGTTCTTTTTCCTCCGTACAAGGTGTTCCACCTGTCTGGTCTCAGAGGGAGTAGCATTCTTCTAGTCTCGTTGAGTTTTGGGCACTCAAAGAGATGATGGTCAACAGTTTCGTAGGGGTAGTTACATTGCTGGCACTCTAGGGAGTGTTGTGGCTTTCTCAAGATTTAAACCCTTAACATTTGTGTTTAGTGATACCGTCCTACCTCTTTAACTTTTAATGTACAAAGCAACTTTTCATGCATTTGTTTTATGTTTAGTTTATTTGTTATTTCAAACTATACTGTTTTGTTTAGTGCAAATTAAGCTGCTAATTTTGGTATTGGTTACGTTTAGTTTGGTAACATATGTGAAGACTCTGATTGATCTATTCTTACGTTTATGGTCCTCAGGTATTATTAATTTCATTTCTGCTGTCAATTTTTGTGAGAAAGACAAAGGTGAAAGGCATAGATGAACTGAATCTACAACATATTCGTCAAGTTAACAAGGAATATGGCGTTAAGAACAGTAAGTCACATAGTCTTGATGGTTCTCATGAAATGGTAGCAGTAAATTCCATAACGTTGACAGTCCCTAAATAATATTTGCAGTTCTGGTGAAATATCTATAGTCTTCAAATAGTACTGGCAGTTCTTGCAAAAATATCTGCAAGTTTGAAGTGTTGAAAATTTTGTTGAAATGATAAAAATTTCTTCTTCTTCTTCTTTCATTTGCCCGAAATAGATTGTCTATATCTGCACTGATGTCTATAGTGTGAACTTTGCTGTCTTTTGTAATTCACTCAGTGACCTGTAAAGTTTGGCTTCAGCCTGTATTTCTCTTTACCAGAAGTTTTGCCTTGATATGTTGTATTTGGGACATTCTTTGAGGACATCATCTGTTGTCTCAGGTGCTAATCCACATGTACACATGGCTGATCTACCACTATTCTTACATTAAATCACATATCGTTGACAACTAAAATGCAATTATAACATTAAATAACATATTATTAATAGTTTATATGTAATTATAACAGTATCTTACAACATCTGGCTGTCATGCGGGAGACCCAGGTTCTACCCCAGGTAAGGTGGTTTTTCTGTCGGGGCCCAAAATTAAATCCGGACCTGCACAGCTCATGGCAACAGCAGAAGCCATGCAGCCCTAAATCCTCAGGCTCAAACCCAACTCCCCCCCCCCCCCCAACCCCATCTACACCACCCTAAAAAGTAGTTGTTGTTGTTGTTATCGATCCAGCGGCGCATGAGCTTTCGCCCTTTGGCCCAATGCCATGTAGTGGAATTTGCATCCTAAAAAGTAGTAATTACAGACTGTAGTGACAGTTTAAAAAAAAATAACAGTATCACATGTTATTGACAGCTCTAGTAAAATCTGTCATTGTTGCTGCCTGTATTTAGCACTTTTAAGGGGATGTAGGACAGAAAGTTTCTCTCTTCTTATAATGAGGAATAAGAATGACTGATTTTCTGATGTTTGGTCTAAGTGAGATACTACTAAGGACTCTTAGGTTTAGCCAGCTTTGTAAATACTAGGAATTTCTCTGAGATGGATAGAGGGCAGTAAAAGGAATTAGCAATACTGATTGAGTGTGCCTTGACCAAGTACATGTGAAATTGAATTATTTCATGCATCTGCTATAACATGTAACATTTACTCACAACAAAGATGTGGTTTTTTAGAAGAATGCAAAGAATATCATGGTGAGATGACTAACAAACAAGGCAGTCTTTCCCTAGACAAACAAGGCAGTCCTCCTCTAGATAGATGAAAACTGCAAACTGATTTGAGAAATTAGACATAGTCTTTTATTTGGGCCTGCTTTGAAAAGGAATGGACTCACGAATTTGGTAATTACTAGCAAAATTATTGGAAAGAAAAGAAAGGTAATGCAAAGAGATCAATATCTTGATGTCTTAGCATTATGGACGAGAGCAACTGATCTGATCTATGATTCTTGTGATAATGTGAGATGGTCAAATATGACAGATTACAATTGTGAGCATGGTGCAGGATGATGATTATTGCTGGAGCTGACATGATGCAGTGACTGGCACAACTGGTTGCTGGTTCAAATGCACATGAGGAAGAACTTAAAAAAATGATCTAGTTAACTAAGCCTAAAATGAAGAATGAATAGTTACCATGAAATGTCCTGTGAAGTAAAGAGAATTGGTATGATGTTAACATCATCTCCTACTGAATGCTTATTGATGTAAAATAAAATTGGGCTCACACCAAATGCCTGCTAAATCTCAAGGCAAGGAAAGGATTCTTTACTTATTTTTATTTTTTTATTTTAATACTAGAGTACTTGTCATGGCAGTGTTACTGACTTTTCTAAACTAAACTACACTACAGGGCTCAGTCGGGGAGAAGTGGCAGACCTAAAAAAAAAATAAAGGAAATGTACACAGAAGTTTGATAAATGGGCAGGCCTTAAAAATGCAAACATCAAGTCCATCTGACCATCTGACCAACAGAGACAGAGAAAACTGAACAGAAATGCAACCTGAATTTGTGGCCCAAAGACATGTAGTGTCATGGGGCTATGATGATGCTAATGATGTCAGGGGGCTACCTATTTAATCAGAGTGTCATCATCATCATCAGGTGCCTTGCCGACTGGCATGGCCGATCATGCCTCTCCATAATCTGCGATCTCCTGCAGCATGTATCAGTTTGTGTGCCGACACACCTCCATGCCATGCAACAAGACTGTCAAGCATCTTCTCTCGTTGTCTTCCTCTATCTCTCCTTCCACATATCTTTCCAGTGGTCACAACATGTTCTATTTTCTCTCTTCTCATAACATGGCTGAAAAATGATGACTGTCTCCTTCTTATGTCTGTGATAAGTTGTCTTCGGGCTTCCGCCTCTTTCAAAATCTCTTGGTTGCTCTTTTTGGCTGTCCAAGGTATTCTAAGCATTCTTCTGTAAAACCACATCCCCGAGGCCTCCAGAAATTGTTTGGCCTGCCTACCGATTGTCCAGGATTCACAGCCAAATGTTAAAACTGAATGTATGTAGCAAGCAAGTGTACATCTTTTTTTCTTGAGCATCAAATTATATTTGACAGTAGTGTTGCATAGTTAACTCTTTATCTTACAAGTCATAACCTCCCCTGTGTGGGTTCCGGGGCCCCATTGTGGGGAAAACAAGAATAGACCCACTGCCTCCCCACAAGCATGTTGTAAGAGTCAACTAATTGGGGAGCTTCCTTTGAAGACGGAGTGCGTCTGCCGGAGAGGCAAGGAACCAACAGTCTGTATTCAAGAGAATGAGATCTGTAAAACTGATGCACACGCAACACTCAGGTTCTGGAGCAGGACTGCAGTTCAGTAGTAGACGAGCAACCAGAACCTTCCGCCAGAGTTTACAACTGGTGAACGCGAAGAAGAAGAAGAAGACAAGTCATAAGAGTATATTGTTTTCCTTCCCTGTCAGTTGTTGCTCACTTTTACAGAAGCCGATGCTAGTTTATTGTTTCTCTCCAGTATCAAATGCTCTTTTTTTTACAATAAACAGATCCTCCTCATGAAAGAGAGTCATCTGTAGGCAACCTGTTTCTTAAAAATGAAATTACATTTGATATTATGGTAAAATGAAACATTCTTTATTTTGCAAAAAACAGATCCTCCTCATGAAAGAGAGTCATCTGTAGGCAACCTGTTTCTTAAAAATGAAATTACATTTGATATTAGGGTAAAATGAAACATTCTTTATTTTGCAAAAAACAGATCCTCCTCATGAAAGAGAGTCATCTGTAGGCAACCTGTTTCTTAAAAATGAAATTACATTTGATATTAGGGTAAAATGAAACATTCTTTATTTTGCAAAAAACAGATCCTCCTCATGAAAGAGAGTCATCTGTAGGCAACCTGTTTCTTAAAAATGAAATTACATTTGATAGTCGGGTAAAATGGAACATTCTTTATTTTACAGAGACAGATCCTCCTCGTGAAAGTGTCTCATTTCTCCCAACTGTGACAGAGGAGGAACTGCAAGCTGCAACACGTAAAAGAAAAATTCATATCATGGTTCGAAAAACCCTCTGGGAACTGGCTGTTCATTGCATATTCCTCATCATTGTCTGTAGTTTGTGCTATTCAAACCGTACAGCTCATGCATATCACTTACACGCCAAGGTTTACAAAGATCTTGTTGGTCACAAGGCTACTGGTTTCAGTTCTGTAAGTTTCCTTCAACATATGTTCAATTAATGACTTATTTTTTAAATATTTTTTAAAAATGTAATGACTTATGTTTGTAATATATTTTTCAAGTACTATTGTTGTTGTGTATGCAGCTAATGAGTACTGTTATTAGTTAACAGTAAATGAATATTGTTAATGTGGACAGAGTTAACACTTTGAGTCCCAAGGAACGCATCATGCGTTCATAGGTTCCTACCTAAAAGCCCAATGAACGCATGATGCGCCGATTTTATTACTTTCTTTACTACCCCCTGGGCCTGTGATGATAAACCCCCTGGGACTCAAAGAGTTAATGAGTGCACTTAATATCTGTGTTATTAACGAGTTGAATGTGGAATTGAGAATCATCATCACAGCACTCGGTACATTCCCATATGTGTTCTGTCCCCATCTTCAGTCGCAAGCATAGAATTCCATTCCGATGGTAGCAGTAAGTAAAGTCTAATTTTATGTTCATCTAGTCTTTCTCTTGAGTGTTCAGCTTTGATCAGATCCCCTGGTTGTTCCTGGCAGAACTATTCTCCTCAGACTGTGAAAATGTATTTGTGCCTCCACACTGTTCACTGTGTATTCATGAATCTAGTTTAAAATGTGTAGTAGAGTTAATTAATACTGTTGTTAACATTGGCATAGTTAATGTGTACTGTTGTTAATCTGGTTAGAATTAATGTATGCTGTTGTTAATGTGGGCAGAGTTAAAAATATAACTCACTGGAATACATTGTTTGTTTCTTGTTTCCTTTCATAGGTAAAAGCACCTGTTGAATACTTTGCCTGGCTAGAAAATATATTGGTTCCATGGCTTTTCCCGGAAGAAGATTACAGTGGTCGGTCTATTATATCTGAAGATAGACAGTACACTTCTGTGTGGAGTCTCTATCGACTTGGTGCTCCAAGGCTGAGACAAGTGCGCATGAAGAAAGGTTGACATTGTTTTTAAATAAAGCAGTTTGGTTTAAAATGGACAAAAATAAATTGTTTTACTAGCAACAAAGGTGTGATTTTTGAGAGAGTGCTAAGAATATTATGGAATGATAGTAAAACCATACTTAAGTTAATTAGAAAAATACATAGACATCCAGTGTTTTTGGACATGTTACAAGGAGGAATGGACTCAAACATTTAGTGATGAGTGGCAAGACTGACAGAAAAAGAAAAAAAAAGTAGAAGATGGCAAAAAAATAAATACCTGGATGGCTCGGCCATGTAGAAGAGGTGGGACAAGAATACTGACCTGATCCATTATTCTGGTGATCACTGAGGTAGTTTAACATGACACCTTACACTTACCAGCATGGCACACGATGATAATAATTATGTTTAATCAATTTCAGCATTATCTAAACATTGAAATACAACTTATCTGAGCCACTTAACCCTTTGGAGTTAGAAATGTGGGTTACATACACACTTGTATACATAAACATATCTGTTTTATCAAAAGATGAAGCTAAAGAATTGAAAGCATTCCAAATACTCAGTAAATTATAATTTGTCATGTTTTGTTGAATTGAGTATCATACAAATGACTTCTTATTGTTTTTGGCCTCATTAATGTTCTGTATTTTTCCTGCCTTATTATTAGTCACTATACTGGTCTTTAACTTATTTTAAAATGTTTAAAACCTTGTGTAAAACCAGTGTGGTACTGCTATAGTTATCATCTACACTTCAAAACATTTGCTATGGAAGATGGAGCATCTATGGATATGCCTAGTATGCTGTGATATCAGTTCTTAAATCAATAATCAGTAAGTAGAACTTACCTAGAAACAAGTGACCCAGACTCACATATTTACTGGTTCTACACAACTTGGTGGTAAAGTGATCCATAACAAGCTATACGTTATTAAGGTGCTTTGGGAGCAAGTGAACAGTGAGGAAGCACAAACAGATCATCAGAGCTCGAAGAGAATGGTGCAGCAGGAAGTGACCTGGGGATCTAGATGACACTCAACAATTAGAGGCAAGGCAAGCTGGATATACAATCACACTGTTAGGGACACCATCGGAATAGACACTTCATTGGCTGCTGAAATTGTGGATGGATACTATGCTAAACGTTTTTTTGGGGTTTAATAAAATAAAATGTTATACATACAAAACAGCGTTGACAGCTTGTTGTGGGAAGTGATCTTTATTGTGCATTGTCAAAAATCACCAAAAATGCAGATATCATCAAGATAAAACAGTCAATCATCACACTGATATTTCAAACCTCAAAGTAGCTGCAGACACCATAACCATACATCCCCATGTGGGACACAATTATTCTTTATTTTGAAGCCCCACTCTGGCTGTTGCCAAGGCCCCTAATATAACTCAACCTATGGGTTAAATGGGGTTTATGGGACCTCTGCCCTGGTGATCCTCATCCGAATGGTGGTACTTTGTGTTACTGAGTGTTTATCACTTGGTGTGATATTCTGGTGGGGTAAAACATCAGTCAGTCAGCTGCAAACAGAGATCACCCTTTACATGAAGCACTGGACACAGCTAAGGGTCAGTGGCTGATAATAGGGAAGTCATGGATGGCTCAGGCAGAAGACAATTAGATAGGTTTGCTTCCTGGAGAACATTAGTCAAGGAGAGATATAAAACTGAACAAAAGGTATTTTAGCAAGCTTCACAATATAACAAATACAAACAAAACATGAACTTTGCGGCAATGGAGCCTTTATCAGCAAATACAAATTAAACAATACTACACAGATACACAAAATAGTCAAGGAGAGGAGTGGGCCATAGTGCCAGCAGAACAGTCAGATTTGTGTAGAGTCGTAGTAGCATGCTTCACTTCGGACGTCATGGGCAAGGAGCATTGTCTGGATCTTTTCTCCGGGTTAAACTGGTGTGTTGGGAAATGGACAGGCAGACAGACTGGTTGGCTCTGCACAGCTTGGTGGAACACTGATACATGATAAGGCAGACGTGTTTAAGGCCTTTTGGGAGTAAGTGTACAATTTGGAGTAGCAAATGGAAAATCGCAGTCTATTGAGAGTGATGCAGTGAGGAGTGGAGAGGAGATCTGGCTGATACTTGATGCTCAGAGAAAAGGCGAGACAGACGTATAATCAAACTGTTACTGGTACCACTGGTATTGGACCTCTGCGCTGGCTGCTGAAGATGGGAAAGAGCACCTATGCAAATGGCGAGAGTGCTGCGATTTCGGGTATTGAATCTACTCAACTCAACTGATAACTAAATAACCGGTTGGTGGTGATTGTTTGCATAAACTGACACTTTGATTTATGTGGATGTTTTTCTCTAAGTTCTCGTTTCTAGTTTTTGCTTATAGTTTTTGGGATATTTCATTTTGTCCCTGTCTTTTTAATCACACTTTTTAAGGGCGGGCATGGGGGCTTTGGGGCTTGTCATATATTCAAGAATGTTCTCTCACTTCATTACTATCAAAAATCTTTCTATTGAATTACATCTTAAATTTACCTATGTATAAATTCAGGTGACTGCATGTATGATTCAGTTTACACTGGTCAGTGTGTGGACAAATTCAGCATAATTCATCAAGAGACCACAGAATTTTGCCTGGGCTGGTCTCCAATTCCATGTCCTCCAACTGATCAGTTTCATGTCACTGCTGGAGCCTGGTATTACAGATTAGATATCAGCATCTTAGAGTTTCCCATTGCTGGAGAATATAACACATATGGAGGAAAGGGGTACACTGTCAACCTAGACATTAATCTGATTGTAAGTTAATAATGTTTGTTTATTAGGTATGGGTTAGTTAAAAATTATAGTATATATATATATATATATATATATATATATATATATATATATATATATATATATATATATATATATATATATATATATATATATATATATATATATATATATATATATATATATATATATATATATATGACAACATGGACAACAGATATAGAAGTGGTAAAGATAAAGGTGGAAAATGAGAGGATTGACTTCATTGCCACTGGGTTTTATCCCATATAGCACACAGAACAGCTAGTTGCCTGCCGAGAGCATTGCAGAGAGCACGACCGATGTAGCTCCAATGATGATCCCCAGGGATCTCCATAGAAACTGCACTCGTAAACTAAACCATGCTGTCATGAAACAAACCCATGACCTTCAGAGCATGAGGTAAATGGCTTATCACTTTGCCATTGAGACCTCCCTGGATATAGAATGTGATGATAAAATTGAAGCTTTTAGTTGTTATATAGATTAATAGTGGCAGCAATTTGATCAGATATATACTGTTCAACCCTTCTAGGTTGTAATTGAGTTAAACATAGTTTTTATATTGGATATCTATAATTATCCAGTGTTTCTAACTGTTTAATACTGAATACAGCAGAATTATTAGTGGTAAAGTTCAATAAATTTGAAATGTTAGGTTATTGAATGTTAGGTTATTGAATGTTAGGTTATTGAATGTTAGGTTATTGAATGTTAGGTTATTGAATGTTAGGTTATTGAATGTTAGGTTATTGAATGTTAGGTTATTGAATGTTAGGTTATTGAATGTTAGGTTATTGAATGTTAGGTTATTGAATGTTAGGCTATAGAATGTTGGGTTATTGAATGTTAGGTTATTGAATGTTGGGTTATTGAATGTTAGGCTATAGAAAGGCTCCAGGGCTTCATTGGGGGGGGGGGGGGGGGGGGGGTGGGGGGGGGGGGGTGGGGGGGGGTGGGGGGGGGGGGAAACAGACTTACTGCTTCCTAACTGGCATGTCATGAAAGGTGACAAATTAAGTATGTTTCCTTCACAGTCAGAGTGTATTTGCTTTAGAGGTGAGAAACCAATAGTCTGCATACAAAATGGTCAGATCTGTAGAACAGACATGCACACAAAACTCAACGTCTGGAATAAGACCAAAGTCTTACAACTGTGGAAAACTAAGAAGAAGTAGAAGTAGTGTTAGGTTATAGATTAAAAGAGTTAAGTATAATTTGGTAAACTGATTAGGAAGGATTGCTACTATTTCATGATGTTTGTGGATTAGACTGAATCTATTGTTTGTGGTTGTTTTTCCCCCATTGATGAATGCTCTTAATATATAATTGTAAGCTTCTTGGTAAGACAGTCAGTCGGTGCATGACATGTTTAATTCTTCTGCCAACTTTGTACAAAGTGTTTACATATCATTGAGATGATCAGTTTTCTTCTGTTTTCTGTATGGAGATTACACTTTACCAGCAAAATGTGCATTTTTTTTCTCTTAGTAATTCACTCGGTCGTAATTTTTAAAATGTGGATTTTCCAGATTGTTACAGCAATAATTCAAGAAATGAAAAAATACTTCTGGGTTGATCGGCAAACCCGTGCTGTGATTTTAGAGTTTACTTTGTACTGCCCAAATGTCGATCATTTTGTTCACGTGACACTGCTGGCAGAATTCCTGGAGACAGGAGGGGTGATCCCCTATGTCAGGTAGGTCATGTTTAAAATCTGGAACAGTTAATGTTTAATTTGTGTTGCTGGTCATTCTATAGACATGATGGACATAATTAATACTATATGAAAGACAACATATGCTGAAGACCTCAAATATAAAGATCCAAAGGTAATTTTTCTCTGATACAAAGTTTTCATATAAGGTTAAAATGGAAACTATGGCTGTAACAAGAGCATTAGCATGGCTTGGTACTCAAAAGTTCACATACGTATGCATTCTTAGTGACTAGATGAATGTGCTAAAAAAAATCCAAACTGGATTTATCAGGCAAGAATGGATTGCAACACTAGGCACTTCATGAATAGCTGCCCTAACCTTCATCTTTGTGCCAGGTCATGTGGGTGTTCAAGGAACAAGCGTGCAGACTATCTTGCTGACACTATGGTTGCTATGGCTGGTCCAGTACTAGACAGAAGTGATGTTATCAATGCCATGCGCTGCACTTACCGTACCGAGGAGTACGCCAATCAAGAACTGACATCACTGTCAATGAGACATTTCCTTATATGTTATACCCCTCTCTTCAGGAGCACTGAACAGTTCCTCTTCAGTTGGTGGCAAAAGCAATTTGCAAAAGTCTGCTTATGCTTTTCTCTACCTATCAAATATTATCTAGATCCTCTGATCAGTCCTTACTGAATCAGTCTTACCAAGTCGAGGCTCTGTTTACTTACTCTATGCATTTGATCCTAGAGAACTTTCACCAAGTCTGCTTGAGTATACAGTGGATCACTGCAACGAGGGGTAACGGCTCTATCAGGAGATAACTGCAAAGAGTTGTAGCTAATCTATCAGCCAGTTCATTTCCCAACACACCCTCATTCTGGGCAAAAATATAAAATCTGCTCCTGACCTGAGTCAAACAGAGTGAGGCAAGCTACTCTAATTCAGACTGGAATTAAAATGAACGAGACAGAAAGTGTTAATAAAAACCATATGAATGAAGGATTTGTCTATTAAGGCTGTAAGGCTTAGTAAGGCTTAATAAAAGCATACATGAATAAAGCAGATGAGGCTTGTTAAGTTTCTTAATATAAAAGCAGATAAGGAACTTGGTTATGACAATTCACTGTATTTAAGTAAATTTATAATGATAAACTTGTAAACTGACTCTATTGCAGCATCTACCCGTTTACAGTGTATGATCCCCCAGGCTTCTTCGGCACATATATTCTCATCTGTGAGATTCTGTACACATTCTTCACTGTGTTTGGTTTTGTATATGTTCTTTACGTATTCTCCAAAGAAAAGTGGGCAGCCCTAAAAAACTGCTGGTTCATGGTTGATTTTGCTGCAGTCATTGTAGCTACAGCTGCAGCATCAATGTTCTAGTAAGTTGCTATTGTTTTAATTCTCATTGTATTTTGCAGTGATTGTTGTTAAGGTATTTTAATGCATCAGGTAATCTGCTTCATAGCACCAGGTTTTATCTTCTTTTGTGTTTGCCCTCAACCCACTGACTGATATGATCACATGTTATGTGATCGGCTGATGGTTCCATCCGGCTACTTTGATCACACCCCATGTAACATTCTGATTTCCTTATACAAGAATGGATCAGCACTGTATGCCCAGTGCAGATCCATGGGGAGAAAATGGCCCTGTACTACTTACTACTTTACTTTTTTTTGGGGAGGGGGGGGGGGGTGCTCCCAACTCTAATTTTTGGCTTTTGAGCTGAAATGCTGTAGAAAGATTCTCAGAATACCACTGACAAAGAAGAAAAGAAATAAACCCTGAATGATCTGAACATCAAGGAAGATTGGCTAGTAAACAGCTACTTGTCTTGGTAACTGAAATATTTCGGCCATATCAAGTGCCAAGGTGAACTGGAAAAAGTAATAGCAGAAGGAGCGATAGAAGGAAAGAGGGCAGTGGTGGCCAACCAGCACAAAGATGAACACTGGATCTGTGACACTTTTGGTAGCAAAGTACATGAGATGGAAGGGCTGGTGAGAGACCAAGCTTTCATTCCCCAGATGGGCCATGATAAAAGCGATGTTCTGCAAAGGATGTCTCATGTAATGATGATGATGAACTCTGGTTTTTTAAAATAAGTTTTAGTTATGCTTTTACCTAATATTATGCAAAAATTCTTTTTATTCTTAATTTTTTTTCTCCTGGATTGCAGTCTGAAATACTAAAACCCAGTCACCCAGAGCCACTTTTTGAATGTCATATCCAAGGAGGACAAAATCTCAGTCACCCAATAGCATAAACAAAATTTATATATTGGGGCATAATATGGTTAAAAAACGGGTCAGGACTTGGTTAGATATGACTCAGCTACCATATAACAGTAGCCGATACTACCTGTCCTCTGTTAATGCCGAATGTTGGGTGGTGCATACTAAACCTAACATTCCACATTGTGCCAATGGTTTCCAGCTGAGGAGCGCATTGGGGAGGATACTATCCTTATCCTAGGAAGAGGAAATACAACCTGAAAACTTTGTTATGGCATGGCAGACCAGGTCCTTAGCCTTGGCTGGCAGCAGGTCTAGAGGGAAGCTCTGACACGCGGACAGATAGAATACTGTTCTTCTAATTAGATAGCTTCTGCAGCCTGCTTTGTTCTAATCATACTGGTAATAACTTTCCTTTGGAGTAAACAAGGCAGGTCGAGAGAGAGATTATGATGCATGGGCAACATAAGATCTCTACAATACTACCCAGTCTTGGTGCTATGGAGAAGAAGAACTTCATCCCTGGCCTTAATTGGTCTCAGAAACAAATCTGGAGTTATCAGTTATGGGTAATAAGTCCTTGTCAGTTGGCATAGACAAGGGCACCATGGGTTGCTTCTGATGGTGGGAGACATTTTAGAATGTCACTGATCAGCTACAGCCCGCCTCAAGCTGGGCAGCCCCCAGACAGTAAGGTGTTGATCTGCCACAGCTTTTGTGCTTCAGTGGGTGCTTGGAGCTAAGACAAAATCTGAATCGCAGGCTGTAAAAACCAGTGCACCAGGCAATTTAAAAAAACAAACTAACTTCAAGCATCGGTTCACCTCTTAGAATGTCAGGACTATGCGTCCCCAGTTTTCCACTGACCTGGAAAGCATTAGTGATGTAAAAAAAAATAGCTATCATTGATGCCGAACTCAATAAACTTGACATAGATATTACTGGCCTACAGGAAACCCATCTGCCAGAGGATGGGTCCATTAGAGAAAAAAATTATACATTTTTCTGGAAAGGCAGAGGCCAGGAAGAAATCCGGATGTATGGAGTGGGATTTGCAGTAAAGAATTCACTGTTGGAATCAGCTGAGAGTCCAACTAGAGGAAGTCACAGAATATTATCCTTATGATTGTCTACCTCTAGCGGTTTTATCACCCTATGATTGTCTACCTCTAGCGGTTTTATCACCCTTGTTACTGCATATATACCCACTCTAACATCAACAGAAGTCACAAAGGATTCTTTTTATGAGGAACTGGTTAATACAGTAAAAGCAATTCCTAAATCTGGCAGCATTTAAATACTTGGTGACCTAAATGCTCGTGTGGGGTCGGACGCAAACTCATGGCCAGTTTGCCTAAATATATACAATGTTGGTCACATGAATGAAAACTGGCAAAGACTATTGGAATTCTGCACTAGAAGTGGCCTGTGCATCACAAACTCCTTTTTTAAAACTATAGACTGTCATAAGGTGTCATGGAAACATCTAAGATTTGGCCACTGGCACCAGTTGGACCTTATTCTCACAAGGAGGCAGCACTTGAACTATGTATCAGTAACTCGCAGCTACCACAGTGCTGACTATGACACTGACCATTCCCTGGTTGCAAAAGAGTTCAGGTGAAACCAAAGACGGGAATTTTCACTTCAAGAAACAAATATATCCCCAATTTAGATATTTCTAAAAACTAAAGACTGAAAAATGTTTTGAGTTCCAACAACAGCTTGCAGATGCTTTCACTGATATCCAGGATAACTCTACAGTAAGCTTAAAATGGGATGCAATTAAAAAGACTGTCTACAAAACTGCTGCAACAGTCTATGGGATAAGGGAACACAGAAGCAAGCACTGGTTTGAAGCAAATAGCCAGAACTCAACCTTAAATGACAGCAAAAAGTTAATACTTATCAGAAACAAGGACAGAACAACAAGGAACACTTTCAGTGAATTTAGAGAAGCTAAAAATCATTTGCAAAAGATATCTAGACAGTGTGCCAACCACTACTGGATCCAATTGTGGGAAAGCATTCAAAATTCTAGCAGTAGTAGTAATATTAGTAGTGTGTATGAAGGGATAAAGAAGGCCATCGGCCCAACTATTTAAAAAAGTGCACCACTAAAGATTTTGAAATGGGAGAAACATTATCTGGAACTGTATTCAACTGAGACTTTACGAATAGAAAGTGCTTTTAATGCCTTGAAGACGCTAGCAACTCTTGACTATCTGGACACATTTTCAACAGTTGTAGAAGTTGAACTGGCTTTGTGGAAGGCCCCAGGCAGAGATGGAATTCTTACTGAGGAGTGGGAAAGACATTCTAAACCCATACATTCATCAGCTAATAACCCTCCGCTAGCATGAGGAACAGTTTCTGCAAGACTTCAAAGACTCAAGCATCATAACTATGTACAAGAACAAGGGTCAAGGGTGACTGGAGTGACTGCAATAATTACAGGGAAATATCACTTCTGTGTACTGTTGGAAAAGGTGCTTACGAGAATTGTTCTGCAAAGACTCCAGATCCTAGGAGACTAGGTTTACCAAGAGTCACAGTGTGGCTTTCATGGGAACCGGTCTACCACTGATATTTTCATTATGACAGTTGCAGGAAAAATGCTGTGAACAAAAACCAACCACTGTATATAGCTTTCTTACCTTTAATCTGGTCAGTTGAAAAGGCCTGTTCAACACACCTATGAAAACTGGGTGTCCACCTATTCTGCTGATTATTATTGAGTCGTTCCACATGGGTATGAAAGGTACAATCAACTTTGATGGTGTAACATCAGAGAAGTTTGTAATCAACAATGAAACACATGATGCAGCAATTACCACCCACTTAGCGAAGGAGCTGCAGTATTTACTATTATCTGCATGCTGTGAATTAGGGTTAATATAAGCAAACAGAAGACAAAGGTGTGCAGGGTGTTAATGACAGACCTGCAGTCTTCATTGATGGTGAAGAGCTGGAGACAGTTGACCATTTGATCTGGGATCCACTCTGAATAACAACCTATCACTGGACCAAGAAATCAATATCATGACAGGTAAGGCAACAACAACAATGAGCAGATTAACAAAAAGAGTTTTTGGAACAGAGAGCTCACGATGAAAATAACAAAAAACTCTTTCAGGTTTGTGTTCTCAGCACTCTGCTGTATGGCAGTGAAACTTGGTCAACTGATTTTCACCAGAAGAAACAGCTAAATAGCTTTCACATGTGATGCCTAAAAAAAATACTTGGCATTAAATCGCAGGACAACATCGCAAACACTGAAGTATTGGAAAGAACAGGTATCACAACAGTTTTCTCAATGCTCAGTCTATGAAGGCTCAAGTGGCTGGATTACACCTAGAGAATCATGATAGCAGAGTCCCTTAGGAAATCCTCTATGGTGAATTGAAGATGGGCAGAAGATCTCGAGGCCGACCTCTACTACGATATAAAGATGTGTGCAAGAGGGACATGAATGATACAGGTATTGAGGTGGACTAGTGAGAACAAAATGCCATGTATCATGTTGTGTAGAGGGAGCACATCTGGAAGGGAATGAGAATGGAGGAAGAAATGACTGCAGACAGGATGAGAGCTGAGTGTCTGAGAAGAAAACACTAAACACAAATGTTGACAACAACGGTCCAGAAATCTCATGCTATAATTGTGGAAGACTTTTCTCAATGCAGGCAGGTCTTGCTGGTCACAATCACCTTTACCCTAGGCTGTGAGTCCCATGCTACTCATAGCATGATACAAGACTATCGTCTGGAAAGACAGAAGCGTGTCAATGATGGTTAAATGAGGAATGCAAATGGAGTGAATTCAAAAGGGGTGAAGAAATAATTAAAATACCTAAGTAACCACTGGTATCAACAGTTATGAGATAGAGAAGATGGCACTGCATTGGACGCATCTTGAGAAGAAATGAGCAGAGAATTATTAAACAGGTGCTAAAATGGGGAATAAAGGAATTAAGGAGGTGAGGACGCCCAAAAGAAATCCTAAAACAAACATTGACGAGAGAGATCAAAGCTGCTGGATGGGATTCCATCCATGATATGAACTCATTACACAGGACAGAATGGAATGAAGGAACAGACTGTGAGCTCTATGTGACATATTATGGCACAACAGGATAGTGAATGAATACTACAGTTACAAAGTTACCTGTTGTCATGTGTATTAGGGTCATCATTAAACCTTTTCACAATGACAACCAAATAAGTTTTTCAGCAAGAATGCAAAGAGATAGAGCCCAGTAAAATTGCTTGACATAATTATGTAATAGTTTTGTGTGAGCTTCTCATGGGAACAATCAGTAGAGGTACCTTAGTGTGGCTGCTGCATCGGATGGCTTAGAATGCTTGGAAATACCCATTATTCAGAAATATTGATTGTGATAACATAACATAATTTTTGTTCATAATTTTTTTTTTTTTTTTGCCAGCTTGCGCTTGTCCAGTGTTACAATAGCTTTATCCAAGATGGAAGAAGACAGGACACAGTTCATCAGTTTTCAACAAGTTGTTCTCTGGGACAAAGGAGTGATTGCTTGTCTTGGCTTTCTTGTGGCTATTGCTTTCTTCAGATTGCTGAAACTGGCTGGATACTCTGAAGTAACTATGAAGGTACGAATGAAGATTTCTGTATGTGTAGACATGTGAAGAATATATGTATATAAGAACCATAGATGTGCAGACCCAATTGGCAGAGAGAATAACAAGGTTCCTGGGAACCATGATCTGTGAAGCATATAAAAAAGCACTTTCAGGTGGTTTATACTTCACCACAGTAGTGCAGGGTAACAGAGGATCCAGATAGGATGAGATTATGAGAAACACAGGAGCGAGCATGCTCGACTGCTGGCCTGGTGTGTTATTAATCAATGTTCCAAAATCACTGCATATGGGTCACCCCATAACTGTTCTGCTTCTGTGTCAGTGTAAATCACACATGTCCTTCACTGTCCCATGGGAAAATAGTAAACAGTTTGTTAGTTCCAGCAAAATCTCAAAGCTTGCATACACAAAGTAAAAATGCATAAGGCAGCTGTCAGATGTGCCAACACTAAAAGTCCCACACTAGAATTGCAGCTTACTGTTAGCATAGATGGTCAGTCATGAAAGCTGGCATTGCACACAAAAGTACACACTAAATAAGATCAGTCTGTATTTACAGTACATACTAAATAAAATCTGTACTAACAGTACTCACTGAGTAAAAGTCTGTATTTACAGACTGCATGCAGATTAATTTTAAATAACACCTCCATTTATCCAGCGGTTTCAAACATTTAAACTGTACTAACTGTAACAGTGTTTCTTGCTTTTTTACCCAGGTGTATCATGTCCTCAAGTTGGCGGTCAGTATCATGCCAAGCTTCTTCACATACATTTTCCTTGTCATTGTTAGCTTTGCTTTTTTGGGATATGGTATGTTCAGCCACACTAGCCCTTACTTCAAGAGCTTTATAAGTTGCCTGACAACACTCTTCACTGGATTGATGGGACATTCAAGTTTTAAGGTAAACAAATTGACTTTGTTTTATTATAACTGTTAATTAACTTGAAATATGTGTCATGTGTGTTTGTGAAAGTAAGGCAAATTTGGTCTGATATATTTTTTGTGTGTTTGTGAAAGTAAGGCAAATTTGGTCTGATGTATTTCTTGTTTGTTTGTAAAAGTAAGGCAAATTTGGTCTGATATATTTCTTGTGTGTTTGTGGAAGTAAGGCAAATTTGGTCTGATATATTTCTTGTGTGTTTGTGAAAGTAAGACAAATTTAGTCTGATATTTTTCATTTATGTTTGCGAAATTAAAGCAAAGTTAGTCTGATAGTATTTACTACTGTGTACAATAAAAGAGTTGAACTGGATTATACCACAAGACAGACAAAGAAGGCAATAAAGAGATAATATACAGACCAGCCTACAAACACTTAAGAGTTACCAACTGGAAGGAGAAAATCAATCATAGAGATGGATGGAGGCAGGTGATATCTGTATCAGTGAACCTCAAGTACTTAGAATGCTGAAAGAAGAAGAAGAAGAAGGAGGAGGAGGCGGAGGAGGAGGATGATGATTGGCTACTATTGGAATGTGAAAAGTCCTTCACATAAACTAGGCAATGACATATAAAGTATGGTGACCAGCTTCTTTCTTCATCTTTTTTCCTACACAGGCAATCCAAGAAAACTGTCTTGATACCAGTTTATTAGGCTGCATTGACCCAAAGTCATACTGGTCAAAAATAATAGTCTTGCCTGCTGGAAACGTTAATCAGACCACTCAGAAATGCAACACCACCACTGTGCCACTGCTGAAACAATTTTGTGAATTGGTGTAGGAGAACATGTTGTTAATATAAAAAAGTCTACAGAGATAAAAAAAAAAAAAAGTTGTGTTATTAATCGTTGATTAATGCTTTTTTTTATATTTTTTGTCTCTCAGGAAACAAACTTACCGCAGACTGATCAATGGGAGACAATTCTCTTCTTTTGCCTGTTTGTCATCGTTTGTATCATATTTCTAACTAATCTCTTTCTGGCAATCCTTCTGGACCTTCTCACACTGACTGCACAAAAAGGGTGTGCAGCTGTCAACCATGAGGAGGCTCAGATCTTTGAACTGCTGTGGAATTCTCTTCTTGTGAAACTAAAACTAAAGAGTGATCCTGTGATATGGAAACAGAAAGAAGGTAAGTATATAGATAACTTCATTTTAACAATTTAAGTTCATTTTTCTGTTTCCATACTCTATAGCCAGTGAATTAACTACGGGCTACTAAATGACTGATGAGGCCAGTGCAGCTGTTAACGCTGAGATACAGATATTTGCAAGATACAAAGAAAATATCAGGCAATAAATTGTGTAACCTGTTTTTCATAATTTCTTTGTTCAAATTTACAAGGGGATATATTTTTTTCAATTGTGTAAATTTGAGCCTCCATATTTCTTTATTGTTAGATCAGGCCCAACCATATGAGGGATCTTGAAACAAATTTTTTAATAATTGTAATTATTTCAGTCACATCTTTTATTTTTTTAATTTGACATGTTCACTTCACAAATCAGCTGTTATGGATCTCACAATAAAATATTTGTTACTAATCATGGTAGGGAGATTTAATTGGTACATAAAAGTTCATAAATCCAGTACAAAGGCATAAATTGCTTCAAACTGAGCTTTTATTTTTTTTCAATATTTGTCAGAGTCAACAGCTTTGTGTTTTGAAAATCTAATTACTTTGGCCAATTTAAACACAGCAGTGTTCAGAAAAAGCATAGGATGGGAAAGTCAACTAGCATGTATGTTTTCAAAAAATTTAGAGCAGTGATTTTCAACTTTTTTCAGGTGGCACTCCCCTGGAATACACAACAAAACCACTATGCCACCCCCTCCCCTTTTCCACCCCCACGACAAAATTTTAAAAAATTGATTTAAAAAAAAACACACTGGAAGACAGAAAGAAAAAATCACAAGCTTTATTTAAAAAACTTGGAAAAAAACATCCACATGTCAAGCAAGATAAGAGAAACAATCATCAACAACTGGTGATTTGGTGATTTAGTGTCCAAATATCCCTATGATGGTTGACACTGTTTTTTTTTTCTTGATGATAGCTTTCATCTTATAAGAGTTTTAATGAATGTTTTATTTATAATTAAACTAAAAACAATGTTTGCAAATCAGATTATTGGAAGTACAAATGCACTCAATTTTAAAACTGACTGACGCCCCTTGAAACTGCCTTGCTCCCCCTGCCCAGGTTGAAAAATGCTTATTTAAGGACACTTTGAACATGAAAATGCATTGGCCAGAAGAAATGGTGAGGGACCTAGAATCTTTCTGGTGGATTGTGATAAGAGAAATATTTACACATGACCTTCTACATGATAATGATGAGGTTTACACGGAAATTGACAGTTTTTTTTAAAATATCTTAAAAACTGTTATTTTGCTCTAAACTAATACGTAAGACAGTTTTACAGATCCTTTCATTGTCAGCGCTGCAAAATCTGAAGATATAGAACATCATGAGTGGGTTGACAGATTTATGCAAATTGCCAATAGGTAAGTTGTTCATGGTTATGAAAGACCATACAAATAAGTAATATGATATAAAGAAGTGCGTAAGTTCTGAAGCTGATGATTTTTAGGCAGAAAACATGAACTGTAATGATGCTTACTAGAAATGCAAAAAAAATTTTGGGGTGGGGGGAAGGGGGGGTAGGGTGTGGGGGCAGGTTTTTGGCTTGCTTCCTGCAGCAAAGGAGTTTATGCTGTGTGTGATGATTTTGGCAAGTGGCCAGCAACTCTACAGAGAAAGAGATAGAGGGAGAGAGAGAGAGAGAGCAGTTATAAAACCATTGCAGTGAAGCTGATTCTCTCACACTTACACTGAACATGAGACTCCTTCTTCTTAGAATTAACTCCCATGGAAAGTTCCGGCTGTGCATCCACTTCAGCACTTTGTCTTGATCTAGAACTTGAGTTTTGCATGAATATCCATTTTACAGATCTGACCTATTTGTATGCAGACTGTTGGTTCCTTGCCTCTGGGCAAGTAAACACTTCTGAATAGTTGCCCGGAACCCATACAAGGAGACTTGAAACTGAATTTAGTCTATGAGGAGTGTCATTTTTATCATTCTTTTGAAAAGTAAAGCCGTCTACTTCTGAAGTGAGCATTATCTATTAAACCACAAACAGTTCATAGATTTTACTTATACTGGTGTTGCTTATAGCATTCTGTTTATTGCCATGCTACATAAATTGTTCACATATTTCTTTGTCTTGGCTAATTTGTCTGTGCTTCAACTCTTCTGTTAATATGCTCCATACATTTGATTTATCTTTAGTTCTTGATTTTAATAAATGATCTTGGAACACCTACAGATGTCAACACCCATTTGTTTTCTTATCCCCTCCATCATTCCTCAAATCCTTATAACATAATTTCATCTCCACTGCTTCTAACTTCATTATCATTTACTTACTCATTTGCCCACAGTCATCTACACAGACAAACGGACTACCAATGCATTCAGTTAAGCAAGTGAGATCTTGGACATGGTTTGTTTGTTTCATAGATTAATTCCACTTAATGATGTTGCCTTCTGGAAGAGTTATTGTTCTTTTACCACAATCTCACAGGATGTTAAATGACCAAGAGGACGCATCAGCTATGAAACTGCTTCCCTCTGAATCTAAGAAGCCAAGAATAATAGGCAGCTTTGAATGATGGAAATTACTGCTACGAATTTGGTGTCTTTGTACATATCAAAGCATTGAACTATAAATAGCATAGTTTTAAACCAAATATATTTTAAATTGTAATTTCGGTTTTACCAGGGCTTTCCCCCTGGGTTTATGCAACAGTATGCAGTACCAGCACTTATTTTTGGGACATCAATTTTTTTTCAGAGCTTTTGTAATAAACTTTGTTGTGAGTATATGCACATTTAAAAAACACTTTAATTTTCAACAGTTGTTTTCTAGAAGAAAAACCCTGGCTTTAACATATGCCAGGGAAAGTTGCAGAACTGCTCAAGGCATGGAACGGAGGTTAAATGCATTGTCAAACTAATGTCAGAAGAAACTGGTAACACATTAAATGGAATGAATTTAAGGAGGGTGAAGAAATAAGAAAAATATCTGGACA